CTATCTCTGTTTTGTTTTTGTTTTTTAGATTACAAACACTGCATAAATGACATTATAGTATGCATTGTTCTCATGGTTTTCCTTCCATTAAAACACACTGAAGTTAATTATGTGATTAATTACAATAGTTTCAGCCATATCAGATAGCGAGATGAACAATGTAGGTTTCAACAGAAGCTGAACTGTAGTGGAACAGAAACGATGCTGAATGCAGCAAACACAGGACGGAGTGGAAATTTTTGCCTTCTTGCATCTCCAGCTGCCACAATTAATTTTAACAAATTATTGTAAATACTGGTGCATTTTCTCCCCATATATTTTGTATGGGATAAAAATGGAATGCACGTTATTTTTCAACATAACATGAGTAGTAGTGGTGATAGACAAAGAAAGAGAGCAAGTAATTTTTTTGTCTGATAAATGGTCACCTCAAATAAAGGAAATGGTTCCAGTGTAGTTGCTGATAGCAGGATAAATGGGGACATTTTTGTTGCACAGTGCATAGTTGAAACACCAAACCTTTAGGTTCCATGCACAATTTTATCCAAGGGCAAAGCTAAAGAAATAATAATATTTTTGATACTTTTTCTAACATCCATTCTGCACTTTTGTGGGGTGCTTCCACAAATTATTTCCAACAAGTAGTAATGATACTTCTCTTCCCATCAAGGAGAACCTTCTCAGATCCAACATGTGGAAGTTACTGTCTCAAACTACGAGTGCACAAAAAATGGTTTTAAGTTCTGATTAAAAAAAAATCTGGAAAAATGTTTAGAGGTCTGTTGGATACTTGATTCCATTGAGAAAAAGGAGGCAGCATGAAAGAAGATAGGTATCTTCAGCCCTGATGGCAAGCAGTACGTTTACTCTGATCCAGCCAAACCTTGTAGATTCAGGGTGGATACACAAAACTCTCCTGCCTTTTTTTTTTAACCATTTACTGATTCACTGCAATGGAGGGAGCAGGTATTTCATATAAATGGATGGAGATGGCTTCTGCTGAATTTATAGGAACTCGGTGTGAACATGCAGTATACATAAAGCTTTGAATGGGGATGGTGGTATTATCTTCTGTTGAGTAGAGAAGATGGAGATAATATATTATACAGCCTCATGAACTTCACACAAAAGCAGGGCAGTCCCATTTAGGGCATTTGGTTTGGGAGCTGTGTGCCACACATGGGACAGTCTCCTTCAAGAACTATTCGGTAACTATGAGAAAATTCTTCCTATGCCATTCCTATTTTTCAGCATGTAAACACTGAAAATCCTTTCAGGATTGCAGATTTAAATCTTTAAAAGGAATGGTAAAAGCTCCAAGGATCAGAAGGAGGGAAGTTAGTTGAAACAATCTGGCTTCATTATATTTTTTCAATGCACATAATCCCCCAAATCCAGGAGAAAAGCAGTTTCCAGGGCTGAGTCAAATATTTAATATGTGTCGGCAGAAATTTCAGATAAAAAAATACTGTAGAGTGAGCACAACATATCCACCAGCTGCAGCTTGGCACCTGCCACCTTTCTTTCAATATGTATATTGCGGGGAACTAATTGATGCAAATTACCCACTGCCATATAATTCATTATACTTTTCTGAAGTCATCCTCTGTGTCAAAAATAAGTTATCCCTTTTTTGAACTACTCTCTGTTTGTTCTGGACCTACACCTCAGTCCATGATTTACAGAATGCGGGATTCCGAGCATGCACACACGTACAGTGGTACCTCAATTTAGGAACTTAATCCATTCTAGAAGTCCCTTCTTAAACCAAGGCATGCTTTCCCTAATGAGGCCTCCCACCGCCGGTGCCCTTCCACCGTTTGGCTTCCGTTCTTAGACCAAGGTAAAGTTCTCAAACCGGAACACTACTTCCGGTTTTGTGGAGTTCATAAACCGAATAGTTTGTAAACAGGGCTGTTCTTAAACCGAGGTACCACTGTACTTTACTTAGTCCTGCCGAAAGAGACATCCTAAAGGGAGGCAGACTTGTGGAATTGCCGATATATGGATGAAGTGAGAATCTTGATCTGTGTTTGATCATCTGAGCACACAAACAAATGATCACCATTTTTCCATAGCCCCATTCACTTGAAGGAGCATCACACATAAAAAGAGGCTTCTACGCTGGCTCCCTATTTTAAACACAATCTTTAACATCATTGCATACAGGGTGGCTGGGCTGTTACAAAGCACGGAACAAACATGCAAGGCTGGCTGTGAAGTGAGTCTTCTCAGAACCCTGATTTAGAACTCAGATACAAATACCCATCAGGGATCCCTGATGCATGTAAATCGTAGAATTGTAGGGTTGGAAGAGTCCTCTAGTCCATTTCCCTGTAATCACAGCTAAATAATCCCTGATAGATGACCATCCAACCTCTGTTTAACACCGCCCAATGAAGGAGAGTCCAAATCAGGAAGGGGAATTTCCATACCTCCAGGTGGAACACCCAAACAACATCTATCACTGCTCTTGGCGTACAGGGTATTCAAACATAGTAGCCGGAGAAAGCATCCCCCTCCTCCCTATGAAACCATCTACAGTTGTACCTTGGAAGTCGAACGGAATCAGTTCCAGAAGTCCGTTCGACTTCCAAAATATTCAAAAACCAAAGCATGGCTTCTGATTGGCTGCAGGAAGCTTCTGCAGCCAATCAGAAGCTGTGGAAGCCCCATCGGACATTCAGCTTCCAAAAATAGTTAACAGGCCAGAACAGTCACTTCTGGGTTTGCGGCGTTTGGGAGCCAAAACGTTTGGGAACCAAGCTGTTCAAAAACCAAGGTATGACTGTCTTAGCTAGGTTAAAGGCCCTCCATTCCTTCACAGACTGTAGCAGTATCTCCTAAATGGTAGAATACATGGTAAGTATGCAGAAAGGGAGCTTCTATTTGCCACAAACTTCCCAATGCAAGTAAGCTCTTGGTTGCAACAATGGGATGCACAGGTACTTTTGTCAATGAGCACCAAACCTGCTATTTCATTGATTCTCAATGCTTGCCAAGCATTCATAATTATATCCTAAAACAAAGACATCACTGGCATAGTGGGGAGCTGGGCCAGATATGTGGAATGAAAGAGCAGCAGAGATTCTCAACGTATGAACACCCAGTCACCGATTCCAGTTGCTCCCCTTTACCTATCACATTTGTCTCTCTCCCCTCTCCCCCCCCCCCGTTTTTATAAGGCAACTCTTAAAGTCAACTCTGAAACAGCCAGAAAGGAAACCAGAGCTTGTTTGCGACTGCAAAAAACAAACAAACACAAAAACCCAGGCATGGTGGGTAGGGGAGAAAATCCCTAATGCACACATCTTTGAATGCAATTTTTGTCCAACACACACATTTTTGCAAAGCATTTTCTGTAATATAATGGATTTTGCTATGTTATTTTTACTCATATGTATTTTTATGAACACCTTGTCCCACTCTGTGCCTTTTTGTACACGTTAATGTAGCAGAAGACCTGCACTGCAGAATTTGAAGAGGTGCAAATTTCAAAGGATACACTTCGCACATTGTTACAGAAAGTTCGTATTAGGTGGGCCCACTCTTAAATGTGAACTGAATCAAATTTCTGGCCCATCCATAGTGACAACAAGTGCTTGTTCCGCCATGTCTATATGCTAATTGTTGCCTTTCCCTGCACAGCTAATGTGGGACTGTTGATGGCAAGCTTTTTCTTGGTTGGGGAGCGATGGCAGGGTTACTGCTGTGGGCGCATTTTGCTGCACTGCTGCTATTCTTGTGGTGCAATATCTGCTGCTGATTTAGCATAGGACTGCAGCCATAGAGGCTTCTGAGTAGAACAGGACTACAGATTCTTCCCGTCACTTGCCCAGAAGTATACAGAACCATCTTCATTGTTTTTCCTGTTTAATTGTGCATTTCATATCGCATGATTAAATATATTAGAAAACACTTGTTGTTCATAAGTAAACCACAAGCCCTCTTTTCTTTGCACCATCCTCCACTGGGGCAACGTCACAAGGAGATTTAATTATGAGCGCTGATATGAATAAGATTTAAACTATTAATTCCGTAGCTTGGGGGGTGGGGTGGAATCTTTAATGCATTTTGTCTTTAAATCTTTTATCACCTGCAAAAATTAATTAAATGCAGATGTAACAGGTTAGGTTTGGATGCCAGGGTTCATTTCCTGTCTATGCTTTTTCAGACAACTTATTACACCTCCTCCCAAAGTGTAGGCAAAACAAAAATGGTCCTCATAAATCAACCCCCGGCTTTTCCTCCAGGCTATGCATGAAGTTGGTCCTTAAGTAGGAGGCAAAGCTCAATTCATTATTCACAAGCAGAATGGATAGAAAACTTACCCAGTGACAACCGCATTTGAACTAACCATTTGTTTGAAACTGTACTATGCAGCAAAAGATTAATCTAAGCCACAAAGGCTGGCTCTTTGTTGTTATTAAATTAGATTTCCTGCATGGAAGGCATCCCGTACTGGCACACGTGATTTGGAACCAGGCGAGGGTGGGCTGGGGAGAGACAAAGGCCTTGTTCCTTTGTTTCAATAATGTTCACATTGCACAACTAAGCTAAGCTATTGTCAGCTTAAGGAGGGAAGCCAAACTGGTTACCAAACCAAAGCCACGCAATTTAACTATTTCAAATTTATATTCTGCAGGGAAAAGTAAACGTTGGTACTTGTTGGGTCATTTTAACAGTGGAAGTATCAATTCATTTAAGGACCATAAAAGTCACCCTGATCTGCGCCTTCTTCTCATTAAAATTGCAGTTAACACCATTAAAGTGAAACATACATGTTTATGGTTTCAGTCCTGCCATCCTGGATTTAATGAGTTCCCAAATTCAGAGGAAAAACACACACCTTTATTACTCCTAAGTATTAAAGGCAGGAAAGCCTAACATATAAAAGAAAAACACAAACCCCTTTTCCCCCTCCCCCTTTCCTTCCACCCCTCCCCGAACCATTTTTATCTGGATCCACCCAAATGATGATGCTTGCCAAGAATACATACCAGATCTACAATCAATATCTTGCCTATATTTAGCTTGTCTCTCAAGTATTTGGCAGTAATTGCAACCGAATTAAAAAAGCAGAACCCCCTGTGGAATAGAGAAGAACAGAAATTTTACAAAGCACATCAGTCAGGAAAACAGTTATAAATAATGTTCAGGGCATGCGTGTGTGTGTGTATGTGTGTGTGTTTTAAAAAAAAACCCCACTATATGATCTCTAAGACCATAAATCTGCTTCTGTGAGTACCTTGAAAACCTTTTCAGTCATCTGCTAACAATTAGAGCTCCCCAGAGACATGCACAATGCAGGTGATTGCCAGTAACCCTAGCACTCCAAGATGGGCAATATTCCCTGGTACTTACATGGCTGTTGATTCTTCAGCATGATGGCCTGGGGGCCTTACAACAGCAAAACCATTCTGTAAGAACAAGATAGGTTTTCAATTACCAGATTTTAAAAGAAGAAGGGGAGTAATCTCTTCTCTTTTCTGTGGAGCAAAGAGCAGCAAGTAAACAGGTTTGGAATGTATTAAAAGCTACTAAACACATCTCCACCCCAGCACTCATTCCCCTTTCATAGAATAAGTGGGGCAAATGCAAAGGATCTCAGCTGAGTGGTTTTTTTAAAAATAGGCCGTGTGTCAAGGATTCCAGGCTAGCTAGATAGCTCACCCCAGAACCTCACAAGCAGGGCATGTTAACATACCCTCCAACATATCTCATACCAAGAGAATTTTTCTAAGCAGGGAGCAATAAAACCATGCAAGTCAGTATAAAAGTTCAAAACATTGAGAACAATCCAGCAGTTAAGTAAACTACCACAGTGGTACCTTGTGTTACGTACCGCCCTCCTTACTTATGCTGCGGGTTACACGCTCTGCTAACCCAGAAGTAGATGCCCCTTGTTGCGACCTTTGCCCCAGCATGCGAGCGGAAGTTGCACTCTGGTGCTGCAGTAGAAGTGGGAGGCGCCATTAGAGAAAGCACGCCTCTTGTTACGAGTGGTTTCCTGTCATGAATGGACCTCCAGAACAGATTAAGTACGTAACACGAGGTACCACTGTAATGCAAAAGCTGGTGGTGCTCCAGGGGCAGCCTGGCTCAATAAGAACATTTTGAGTAAGTGCAAAGGATAAAACAGAGACAGCTTACTTAACATGCTATTTCTGAACATGGAGGTTCCGCTTTGCCTCATGACATGTGGCCATTGGATAGACTGATTCTGCAACCTAAAATTCCGCATGATTACTATGTGGACGCAGAACTGCAACAGCAGACGTTGCCCATTCTTTTTCATGTCAGGGATGTGTTTGGACTGAGACTGACCCAGCAATCCAAACTCTCTGCTGCTGGAGTTCTACTGTTGCTTCCACAGCCTGGCCACTCACGGTGGCTGCAGTAATAGAAGTGGGAGCAGGCAGATCAACCCCAGTCCTTGTGCCAGCTCCAGGCTGGTACAAAGATCAGGTCCATAGTGAGCCCGTCTGCCCCAGTATATTTCCAGCAGATTCTGGGCTGTCTCTGCCCCTCCCTATCCTCAAAAGGCCCCATTTGAGGGAATTCCACCCATGAGGATACCACCAGTGGTCCTTCTGCCTGTTTAGTGGGCGGAAGGGGGAGGTCTGCAAGGATGGATTGATGCTTGTACCACTCTGGTAGGGGCAGAGACAGGGGGTTGGCTGAGCTGACAGAAGCCAGCAGAGGGATACTGCCTAGCATAAATGTGGGTTGGGATTGGATTGCAGCCTAAGTCATACCTGAAATCAATGGGACTTGGACATGGCTAACCTAAGTCCCACTGATTTCAGTGGGCCTACTGCAAGCATGACTAAGCTGTATCCAACCCAATCTGCACTTGTTGCCACATTGGGTGAGAATTAGGGGCATCAGAGGCCTCAATTGAGCTGCTGAGTCTCCACTGTGTTGCTCAGTGCAGCTGATTTAATATTTTCTGCCAACCTCCAAGTGTTGTTCATACCACAAGATAACCCTTTTTTGTTTTTGAGCACCTTTCTCTTAGTTGCGTACAGCTGTTTGCACTGTCCGCTTCTACCCATTGATCCCCTACAGAATAAATATTTTCTCTTTTCCTTCTGTCTAGCTTTGGTTATGCTAGAGTATAAGAGATGTCTTTTGGCAGGGCTGGAAACATTCATTTATGTTCTCCAGTTATGCACTGATCACAGAAGAGGAGAGAAAAATAAGAAACTGCATAGAAAATATGCTCAAATGGGCGGACATAACAGGAAAATGGCATACCCATCAACTGCCTCAGAAAAACCGGGACATCCTGTTTTTTCCATTGAGAGTATGGTAGCCATTTTGGGCACCTTGCTCTCTCATGATTTTGGGCTGAGATCTCCCCCCTACCCCCCAAAAAACCCACTTTTTAAGGTCTGTGATCTCGTGCTGGATTTTGGACCCAGAAGATAGAGTCCCAGATTTGGGTTGTGTCGTGTAGGAGGGTATGAAATGGGGCAAGTGTCTTGGTGGCAGACCCCCAGATATAATGCGAGATTTTGGTCAGCGTTGAGTTTCTTGTGCTAGAAGGAAAATGGTATGAGTCAACCATTGTTCAATCCACCAAGGCTATGTCAGCATGGAAGCCCTGTGGTTTCACTGATTCCTAGCTGTGCCCATCCAGAAACTGCAGGCAACATTAATGGAAGAAGCACATTAAATCAAGATAAGCCATGCATCGCAAGGGAGCAGCACAAACAACCTGTTATATCCAGAAGGCACATATGACAAGGAGGCTAGAAAAACCACAGGACCATATTGAATTAGTGATGTGCCAAAATGTGTTGTCTAATTCAATTTAAAGTTTTCTTTCTCTGAGCAAGCGGTCCACATTTGTCTCCCTTATTCTTGGGGCACTTTACAATTTCAGCAGGTGTGGGGCTGAGCTTACCTTATTGTTGCAATGTAACCAAGGGGTGTTTGCCTGGGAGCTTGCCCCACCCCACCCTCTGCCCCACAGAACATTTCTCCAGCGCTCTGCAACCTTCCTGACTGACTGCACTTCCTGATCTGGAAAGGCCCCATGATAGGAGTCACCTCATGAAGTACTGTGAAGCACAGCTACACAGGGAGGCTGCAAAACACAGACCACTGTGAGAGAATTTGTAGACTGAAGGGAAGGGTACAGCGGTACCTTTGGTTAATAACTTAATTCGTTCTGGAGGTCCGTTCTTAACCTGAAACTGTTCTTAACCTGAAGCACCACTTTAGCTAATGGGGCCTCCCGCTGCCACTGCGCCGCCGCTGCACAATTTCTGTTCTCATTCTGAAGCAAAGTTCTTAACCCGAGGTACTATTTCTGGGTTAGCGGAGTCTGTAACCTGAAGTGTCTGTAACCTGAAGCGTCTGTAACCTGAGGTACCACTGTACTTAGCAACACCTTTTGATCACCTGAAAAAGGAAGTTCAGCACATCCAAAGCCCTGCACCTCGCCCATGAGAATTTCACTCAATTTTTCTCTCTCCCTTCTTCAAATGCAATTTCTTTTCATATTAATCAATTAAGAATGGTTGGGGGGGGGACCCACAGGAGAAATTTTCCACGCAGCACAACATTTAAAACAAAATTAAGGGAAATGTAAATTGCTCAACATACGAACCAATTAAAAACTATTTTAACTCCTTTTCGTTTACACCGAATTGCTTCGAAAAAGCTGAATTTTCCTTTTTGTGTGACAAGGATGACAAGCCCTCACATCACAACAAAAAAGGGTTGTTGTGGATATGAGAAAAAAGATGATGGAAATTCCATATTTCAGTAGTCTATAAATCTCATCTAGAAGCCTGCCAAAGCTTGCAACTTTATTGGATTTCCTAAGTCAGTTTATAACACACATTCTGGACCTTTTATAGGAGGTTTTCATACAGAGCAGCCATCAAAAGTTTTGATTTTCTAGGAATACCTTAAGCTACTGCTTCACTGCAATGCACTACTTACAATGACCCTCCGTTCCCTCCCAGAACACCATGAAGCAAAGACCTATAAATCTTTGCTAAATGATGACCGCCCCCCAAACCCAGGGTAGGTAGCAGATATGCAAACATTCTTTGCTGATAAGGAGCTTACTGTTAACCAACACCTGATTATACATCTCCAAATGAATGAGGATGAATTATTTTTTGTTTCCATGAGACAGTAACTGCAAGTGCAACTCATTTCTCTCTGTGTGTTTGACATCATAGCTCCAAACCCAGAGGCCAGAGTTCACCCAAACCCAGAGGCTCAGGTTCATACAGATGCAGTGGAAGAGTCAACATTATACAAATGAAAAGAAAGTTTCAGGTTAAGTTATCCTCATTTTCTTTCTCACACTCATGATGAATATGGCAATGGCTGAATGTATGCACTCTATTATTCATTAAGCTGCATTTTTAAAGTAATGGAACTGGGAAGTGGGGACTGGGGCATTTGGTTTCATGCTGCAGAAACCTTGGGTCTACAGATGCTGTTCAACCAGAACTCCCATCTTCTCTGACCATTAGGCTGGCCATGTTAGCTGGGGAGATGGAGGTTGCAGTCCATCTACACCAGGGGATCTCACAGCACAGGGTCATAGCTCAGTGGTAAAGTACTTGTTTTGTATGCAGAAGGTCCCAGGTTCAATCCCTGGTGGTTCCAGTTAGGGCTGGGAATATCTCCTGCCTGAAACCTTGGAAAGCCACTGCAGTCAATGCAGACAATACTGAGCTTGATAGATGAGTAGCCTGACTCAGTATAAGGCAGCTTCCTATGTTCCTGGGCTAGAGAAAACATCCATGAAGCTTACACAAACATATAATGTTGCTTTTGGAGTTCATGCTATTCTTTCAGGAGGTAACTGAAAATAATAATAATCTATTTATACCCCACCCATCTGGCTGGGTTTCCCCAGCCACTCTGGGGGGCTCCCAACATAATATTAAAAACACAATAAAACATCAAACATTAAAAACTTCCCTAAACAGGGCTGCCTTCAGATGTCTTCTAAAAGTCAGATAGTTTTTATTTCCTTGACATCTGATGGGAGGGCCTTCAACAGGATGGGTGCCACTACCAAGAAGGCCCTCTGCCTGGTTCCCTGCAACCTCACTTCTTGCAGTGAGGGAACCGCCAGAAGCCCCTTGGTGCTGGATCTCGGTGTCCGGGCTGAAGGATGGGGGTGCTGATGCTTGTTTATTCTTTTCTGTTTAGGAAGGCATTGAGAGATGCTTGATATCTTCAGTTTTTGTATGTATCTATCTATACCATGTATCTGTCACCTAATAACAACAGTTCCCTTGGACGATGTACAAAATAAAAACTACCGTAATTAAAAAACATAACTCTTAAACAAACAAAAAACAAGCAGCAGGAAACAAGGCTGAAATAAGAAGAAAAAAATCACTTTAAAACAGGGTTCAAGGGATTAAAATACTGCAGC